ACTCACTCACTCACTCACTCACTCACTCACTCACTCACTCACTCACTCACTCACTCACTCACTCACTCACTCACTCACTCACTCACTCACTCACTCTCTCTCACTGGTATTTTACTAAAAAGAGTATTACTCTCAGATAAATCTAATGTACACAAAATTGTACCTCACTCATAACACTTACAAATCTGATGCTGTGTGAAGAACAGGTAATGAATTTATTAGGAAAAAAAGGCAAGAAAAATGTCCAACACCTTGTTAACATACACATAAACAGAGATAAACCAAGACATTTCAAGTAAGGAAAAAAAAAGAAAAAATAAGGAAGAAACAAATCAAAACAAAAGTATACCGTAATTACACATGAACATAACCCACCACCACTGTCATAAGAAAACAAGAGATGAAACCTTAATTAGTAAGCATGTTTTTTATGAAAACATCACTAATGACATACAATCAAATATGTTATTTGGTCAACCTTATCTACTGCTAACACAAAGACGAAGCCAAAGTTGGATCATTCTCACTAATCAGCAAATGGCCATGTAAATCACTGAGGGCAGGTTATCCCTTTATTCCAATGTTGCATGATGCGACTGCCATTTAAATCTTGTACTGCCTTATTTTCAATTAGAGGGGAAAATATCCATTCACGATTAATGGACAAATAAAAAGATTTACGGTTTACATGAAGAAGGCAAATAAAAAATCAGCAAAATGTATAAATGTATAAAAATCAAAGAAATTAAAAATGAAAACGGACCAATAACATATTAGGATCCAACTTTGCTTGCGAGTGGCAATTCCCAACATGAGTGTGAGTGCGAGAAAACAGTGCGAGTGTGCCGCAGTGGAGGAGGCTGCCGCCCCCACTGGAGTGTGGGTGTCATTCCCACAGGCACACCACAGGCACGGCACCTTTGGAGGGCGGAGGGGGCAGTCTCACAAGGTCCTGGGTCTGTTGTGCTCGGACTGCGGTGGAGACGACACCATGGCCTGAGTTGACTACCGTGCCTCCACCACCTCCACCAACTTGGCTGGGGGCATTGGTGGTGGTGGTGATGGTGGGGAGAGTGTCAGAGGCTAAAGTGGTGGTGGTGGTGGAAGAGGAGACAGGCAAAAGGTCTGGACGGAGCTCCTCCATGTCATAGCTGTGCGTGAGCACCTGTGTTGGACGGCCGGTGTCGCCTAACGGGGTTCCATTCACAATTACTTTATTGAACACAGACTCATCAAATTCCTTGCTTTGCATACTCAAAGAAAAATGGTACAAACAAAAATAATAAACGTAGTGAGAGAGAGAGAGAGAGAGAGAGAGAGAGAGA